TCATCCGGAAGTAACACACTCTCTTATGGACTTTAGCTGAGACCCGGAACAGCTGAGATCATAGGCACAGGATACCCGAAGCTACATTTTCAAAAAGCTATGTAAAGCAAGTTAGAGCAAACTCATGTGGTACTTGTAATCTGTTTCCCCTGGCTGCAGCGTGAACGGCATACTCGTGAAAGGCGAGAAGAAAACCGCGGTGGCGGCGATGATTCAACGATCCGACGGACGCGTTAAGATTGGATTCAATGTTTTACATGCCGAACCGAAACAGGTTGTAGATTTGTTAATGAAATCAATGTTCAGCAGTAGAAAATGCAACACGAGTGCCACAACAGATTCAAAATTCACTGCAAAATTCAATTCTTACTTTCCAGACAGTGCTCTGAAACGTTTCACCTTATTTCAGAGCACTGTCTGCACTGCAGTCCCAACTCCACCAGTCTTTCTTTGCTGAATTATAAAGCAGTTGAAATCCATATTTTTTTAAGGGACATACCCTGGATATTGCACTGAAGAAGATGAAGCATCGAGTGGTGGAATCGATGACTGCCGAGACTGCTGATGCACTAGGCCTCTCCAGAGCAATCATTTGTAACGACCTGCTGCTCCGGAAACTTAGTCGTCTCGAACATAGCGCGCAGTTGTACCGAAAACTGATCAAACATCTCGGCGAATTGCTTAGCTGTCATTATCGCGTCGCCAGGACGCAAAAGGGTTAGCCATAAAATTCTTTTTTTTCGTTAAAAGACATGTCAAATGTTTCTTCTGTCTTAGATAAACCTAAGCGAAATTACTTCATTTCTGAGATTTTGTTTCATCTATGTTGTATAAAAAGTGGAAATTCATCGATTTGAATTTGAAAGAAATTTGTCAAATACTGTTCGTTACAGTTTTGTATAGATATTAAAAATCTGTATTTATTTACTTTGCAAAAATTCAACAATAAAAATTTTGATTTTCCTGAAGTGTGTTCACAGAGTAAAAGCAGCTTTACTGGACTTCATGTCTCGGATTATTAGATGATATTGCAGATTTTGGTGATCTGTTCTGTGAAATAGCTGCTCGTGAAAGCTCAGCAGCAGCAAATGCAGCATTGACAACGTTCGGGGAAGCACATCGAGCTCTCGAGAAACACACTGTCAAGTCAGTTTTTCTTATATCTTGATTACACATAGAGAATGCGAATACATGTACAACTTGAATGCTTATGTGGAGTAGTGTGGATAAGGGAGACCCGAAGTAGAGAAAAATGGAGAAGGTACCAGCTGCTTTAATTGTAAAGAGTTTGCGGTGAAGAAACATCAGCTGGTCAAAGTATTAAAGTAAAAAGTGCGCACCTCAGGCTTGCCGATGCGATCATGCTTTTTGCACAGGTTAGCAAAGCAAGCAGAACAATCACTGTGTATTCATAGTTACTTTACAGTTCCAGATTTGCAATTGTGCTGGAAAAATGTTCTTAATTGTCTCTTCTTGCTTGTTATTAGGACTGCTTGGGCAGTATGAGCATCCCATGTTATTTATAACATTGGGTTGCTCCCACAAGC